GGAAAAAAACAAAAAACAAAGATGATTAGTAATGGATTTCGAATCTACTACTTGGTTAAAAAAACAGTTTTTTATTTTCCCCTTTTCATATTTTATGTTACCTTTATCTATCCATTCAGTGGGGAAAAAACTCTTCTCAATTCTGTCCATAAATGAATATTACCAGAAAATGGTCAAGTGTATTTCATGGTATTTCATACTTTCCTTCCCCCTTTGAAAACCAAAAACAACAAAAATATTTATAATGTCATTTGTTGTAGGTTGTTGGTTGTTGTTGATTCGATTCCTATGTAAAGAATCATTTACAACACCAACAACAACAACAACAACATATAGAATCTAAATATTCTACACAGAGAATGACGCCAATTCCATAAACAAAAAAACAAAAACAACAACAACAACAATAATCATCCAGAATACAATCATGGTTGCTGTTGTTGTTGTTGTTGTAATATATAACCGCTAATTAAATTTGCCAAACAAAAAAACAGAAAAACACACATACAATTTACCGCCTTTTCTCTCTCTCTCTCTTTCTGCTAATTTATTTTCATTTTCTGGGCAAACATTATACGATTATTATGTAATTTTGTTGTTGTTGTTATTGTTTTGTCCATAGGAATGATAAATATTATTATTATGTAATGTAATGTTTATTATTATTATTATTATTGAAGTTGATTATCAAATATCACGATATTCAACAATGATGATGATTGTTTTTTTGTTTTTGTTACCTGGCCCCTTAATTTCATTTTTTTTTATTGTTTTTTTTGTTTTTTGTTTCAATCATTTTCATACATTTCAATCAAATTCTGTTTTTCCGAAAAGTTTTTTTTTCAATTCTGTTTTCTTTGATTCTTGTTGTATTTTTATCAAGAATCAAACCGATAGATAAAGTAAATATAAACCGAATAACCGATTCAATCGATTACCGGAGAATTATTTTAAATGATATCTCTCTTTCATCAATGATAATAATAATAACCGAATATTCCCGGTATTATTATTATGATTATCATTGATTCGGTTTTTCGGCTATCAATGAAATAATAATAAAAGGAATTTGATATCGTATTTTGATGAATAACTTTTGATCGTTGTTTTTTATTATTATTTTCATTGTTTGCCATTTCGAAATTATTATCATCATCATCATATGGCTGACGTCTTTGTCCAGTTTTTTTTTATTTTCATATAAATTAATATGGATCATGAAAAAAACCAAAATTGATTGGCCTAATTTTTTCCAATGGTTCTTTTCTGATTCTGTGGTCAAAATTCTGGTAGACATAATAATAATTTTCTTCCCCCTTTTTGATGATGATCATCAGAAATTTTTCCGGTATTACTATACTCGAACAACAACAATAACAACAACAAAAATTGTTTTTTCTCTTTGCTTTTTTTGGCTGGAAAAAAATAAAAAAAAACCGACCAACATGAATGAAGGAATCATTAAAATGGATTACTATAATTACTATGTGTGT